GGGGTTCCCGGCTCGAGGGGGAGGTGGAGACGCGCAGAGCTCTGGAGGAGCTGCGTGGCTACTGCTCCAGCCCCGACTTCTCTGCCTGGACGGTGGTTTCCCGGATCCAGTCTCCGAAGAGGTAAAACGCCCTGGGGGCGCCCCCCCGACAGTGCGCCCTGCTGGGGGGGGCGTGGCTCTGCACACATCCAAGGGCTGCCTCTTTTCTCTGCCACTGGAGCAGCCTGCAGCTAAACTGGGGACCTGCCAGGGCCGTGTGAACCCCCCGGAGCTGCCTGCTCTGACGGGCTGTCACTGGCATGTCCCCGCCGGTCCCAGAGCAGGGCAGCTGGCTCCTTTTCCCCATGCCTAAGCGTCCCTATGGGGCTGGGCTTGGCTGGTGGTTGGGGCAGCAAGACAGGATGCCCCAGTTCTAGTCCCAGCTGTGTCTGAGCTAGGGCCTGTCGCTCCCCCACCTCTGTGCCTCAGTTTCCCTAGCGACACAACAGGGTCAGGAGTTCCAGTGTGGAGGTTGAGGTTTAGTGATGTCTCAGCCCTTTAAGGGATCAGAACGGCCACACTGGGCCAATGAGTCCTGCCTTGCCACAGTGGAAGGCCCAGGGCGGGTGCTAATTGCTCCCCATCTTCGTTAACCTCCAGGTTTGCTGACTTTGTGGGCGGCGCCTCCCATCTCACCCCGAACGAGGTCTCGGTCCACGAGCAGGAGTATGGCCTGGGGGGCTCCTTCGTGGAGGACCAGCTCTTCGAGGACGACGAAGACGACTCCTTCGAGGGGGAGGGGCGCGCCCACTCCTCCATGTCCTTTAACCACCTGGGCTTGGCGTGAGGCAGCCGGTCAGGAGCCCTGCGGACCGACTTGGCGGCGGAGCCGCAGAAGCGCCCTGCCGGCCGTGGAACGGTCGCCGCTCTCTGAGCGCCCCCGTGAGCACGTGCGCGTGAAAAGCCCATCTTGTCGGTGCGAGTGCACCAGAGTCAGCTGCTCCCTGCACGGCTAGTTGGGCAGGGGCTTTGCACGGTGCGGGAGAAGCCGCTGGGGGTGTGTGTCGGGGGCGCACTCTCCTACTGGCGCTGGGCGGCCTGCCCGGTCCGGGGCAGAGAGCCCTCGGGGCTGCTTGTGTGAGCCGCCCCGGCCTGACTCCAGTTGGATGGGCAGGAGGGCTCTGGCCATGACTGTAATTTGTCTGTAGGACGCAGCGTCCGCCCAGGGCTCGGACCTCCCCTAGAGCGGAGGGAATTTCCCCGTCTACGCTTGTGTGCGGCCGCAGAGCCAGTCCCAGTGGCTGGGGGGGCCCCTCTGTC